CAATTTTAAAATTCATTTGGAACCAGAAGAGACCTAGAATAGCAAAAGCAATCCTGGGCAACAAAGGCAAGGCAGGGGCATCACAATCTGTGACTTGAAATTATACTACAGAGCTAGTGTGATAAAAACAGCATGGTATTAGCAAAAAACAAAAAAAGAGAAAGAAAAGAAAAGAAAAGAAAAGAGAAGAAAAGAGACCCAAGGATCAGTGGAACAGATTAGAAGATGCAGAAACAACTCCAAACACACTCAGCCACCTTATCTTTGACAAAGGAGCCAAACACCTTCACTGGAAGAAAGTCTATTTAATAAATGGTGCTGGAAAAACTGGCTTTCCCCATGCCGAAGATTGAAACCAGACCCGTATCTTTCACCATGCACTAAAGTAAAATAAAAATGGATGAAAGATCTAAATATTAAAACAGAAACATTAAATATGCTGGAAGATAGAACAGGTAGAACTGCTGAAAACATTTGTGTAGGCAAAGACTTACAAATAAAACCCCCATTGCACAGGAAGTATCACAAAGAATCAATCACTGGGATCTCATCTTACTAAAAAGCTTCTGCACAGCAAAAGAAACCACCAACAGACTGAAGAGACAATCCACAGTGTGGGAAAAAAATTTTGCCAGGTGTTCCCCAGAAAAGGACTAATATCTAGAATATATAAATAACTAAAAGAAAAAAAAAAATCAAACCCCCTAATTTAAAGACCCAATCCAAAAATGGGCATCTGAAAGGATGCCCATTCTCAGATGAAGTAGAAATGGGAAATTATGAAAAAATGTTCAATATCTTAGGTCATTTTAGAGATGCAAATTAAAACAATGCTGAGATTTCATCTCCAGAAACAATGGCTCTTATCAAGAAATCAACCAATAACAAATGCTGGCAGGGCTGTGGGGAAAAAGGAACCTTTCTCCACTCCTGGTGGGCATGTAGACTGGTGCAACCACTGTGGAAATTAGTCTGACGATTCCTTAAAAAACTAAAATTAGGGCCGCAGATCTAGCTCAGTGGTTCCGCCACCTGGCTCGCAAGTGCAAGGTCCCGAGTTCCATCCCTGGTACCAAAAAAGCAAAAACAAACTAAAACTAGAAGTTCCATTTGACCCAGCTGTTCACATTCTTGGCATCTTCCCAAGAGAATTAAAAGCATCATGCCACAGTTATGCATGCACACCCATGTGTTCATAGTGGCACAATTTGTAATAGCTAAATCTTGGAAACAGCCCAAATGCCCATCAATTGATGCATGGATAAAGATGTAAGGTTTTTTTATACAGTGGAGTACTACTCTGCCATAAAGAAAGATAAGCTTGAGACTTTTCTAGCTAAATGAATGCATACTGAAACCATATTAAGTGAAATAAATCAGACATATGTGTAAATACTGCATGGTTTCTCTGGCATGAGAAACAAAAAATGTAAATAAGGACCAATATGTATAATACATATTGGGAAATGGAAGAAAATGTTCAAATGAAAAGGGGAACAAGGGAGGGGGGAGGGGGAAAGGAAAGAAGGGACAAGGAAAAAAAAATAGAAGGGAAAAAAATGGAAACAAGGCTTTTGTAGATAAAGAGGAGGGGGAGGTTGAAGAGAGGGGAGAGGAGTGGTAAAAAAAGAAGCAAGAGCTGGGGATTTAGCTCAGTGGTTTTGTCGCGTACTGCGCAAGCGCAAGGACCCAAGTTCGATCCCCGGTACCAAAAAAAAAGAAGCAAGATATATCATGTACAGATACAAATTCCCAGATGATGAATGCTATCATTATGTATATCTAAAATGTACAGTAAAATAAAAAGTAAAAATAAATGTCATCTGAATAGTGTTATACTATTTTTATTCTACCATAGAACCATGTGTAAATGGAGTCACTAACCAGTTTGTTTGTTTTTTTATGTTTTTTTGGTACCGGGGATCAAACTCAGGACTTTTCCCTTGCGAGGCAGGCGATGGCACCATTGAGCTAAATATCCAGCCCAGTTTTTTTAGAACATGTAACTTTCATCATTATGTTAAATAATTCTACCTGTAAAGAGAAATAAAAATGTACCATATTCACTTCATAGGTTTGTTATACGGATTAAATGAGTTAATAAACATAAACTGCCTAAAGTAGTCCATGATAAATAGTAAAAACATAACAAATCAGTCATTGTTAGTATAATTATGAGCCTATCTCAGGATGACTTCTAAATTCTTATTATTCATCTAAAAAACTAAGTGTTACTAGAAAAATAGTAAATAATATGGTAGTATGATAAAAATGTAAGTAACTCAGTGTACTTTTTACATATTTTATCCATGATTTTCACATTAAAAAAACAGACAAGGAAAGCAGCAAGTTTAAACCAAAAGTAATGAATAAAATGAATTATTTCATTTTTACTAAAAATATAATTAAGTTTTAGATGAATGGGCTTTCTTCAAAAATATTAAAATATAAAGCTTATTTGAAAGCACTAAAATACATCTTCTATGAAGTATGAGCTAAATATAATAAGTAAACATAGCATAGAACCAATAATTCCATTTTTTTCATCACATGAACATCTTCTTTTAATCACAAACTTTCTTCCTAGAATAATGCAAAATAATAGATTAATATTTGAAATATTCTTATGCTGATTTAGCATTAAAAGTCCACTGTAATAATCAAAAGCATAATTTAAAGCAAGAGTGCAGAAGCATAATTTAGTCAATTGCAAAATATGAAACAGAAACTCAATAGCAGACTACATGGATATAAAAAGCCAGTAGTTCCGATTTAGAGGAGTGGGTTGGGAGTCAACGTTAAACTAAATTAATTTTAAAACTCAACACAGAAGACATAAAAATAAAGTATGTGAGCTAGGCATGATAGCACACACCTAGCTACTTGAGAGTCTGAAATAGAAGACCATGAGTCTGTGACTAGCATGGACAATTTAGGAAGACCTTGTCTCAAAAAATAAAAAGGAGTGGGGATGTAGCTCAGTGGCAGAATGCTTTCTTGTGTAGCATGTTCCATTCCCAGTACCAAAAAAAGTAAAATACAGTTAAACTACAGAGGGTTAAGGGTGGTAAGGAGATAGCAACAATGGCCATGAATTTAAGATGCCTGGAAATGAAAGGAAGTAGGACATAAAAAAAGGTGAAAGATGTAGTTTAAATGAAGAAGCAAAATAACAAATAGGCAAGCATATTTAAGGCATGAAAGTACTTGGGCCTCTCCCCCAAAGGAAAAGAAACACCGCCTTTCTCTCAAAAGAGAAGAGGAAGGGGCCGGGGATTTAGATCAGTGGTTCCACCACCTGCCTCACAAGCGGAAAGACCCAAGTTCCATCCCCGGTACCAATAAACAAACAAACAAACAAATAAATAAATGAAAGAAAGAAGAGGAAGAAAAGAAGGGAAGATGAACACAGAGTAAAGATATTTTAGGGAAGGGGAAATGAGAGGAATAAAGATATGTCATCTACAGAAAATTAATAACCCTAATCAATGTAAATATTAAAAGCCACAACATTTGCTAAGACAAATAGTATTAACAGGTATGAAAAAGGTGATTGGGGAATTGGAGCAGGAAGAGGGAGGGGGAGGTAAGGGGAAGGGAATTTAAAAAAAACCTGTAATATGTACATGTAACCACTCTCCAGGATGATTTTAAACTGCATGAATTACAAACATGCACTAATAAAATAAAATAAAACAAGAAAAAATTTTTTTAAAGTACGTAAGTAGCTGGGTTAAAAAAAAGGCCCAGGGATTTAGCTCAGTGGTTCCGCTGCCTGGCCTGCAGGCGCAAGGATCTAATTTCGATCCCTGGTACAAAAAAAAAAAAAAAAGATATATATTTAGGGTCAAGAGATAAAAAATATGATGGGAGTTGGCTTTATTCTTGTCTTTTTTTTTTTTTGGTACCAGGGATCGAACTCGGGCCCTTGCGCTTGCGAGACAGGCAGCGGAAACACTGAGCTAAATCCCCAGCCCTATTCTTTGTTTTTTAATAATGGCAATCAGTAAATCAACTTTCCAAATGTCAGATATATCCAATAATTACTTAATCTCATACACAGAACCCAAGTAAACAGTAAATTATGACAAAATTATGGAAAATGTTCACTTCAGAACCTACTTTCTCTAATTCTTCTCAATTCAATATTTCTTTTTGTTTTCCATTCCACTTCCACTGTCTCTCTGCCTCTTTCCCTATATTATTTCACATCATAACTCAGAGTATATATTTTTTAGTATTAGTTATATTTAACATATAAATTTTAAAATCTTCCCTTTTCAAATATTAATAGTTGTTTTACCAGGTATTAAGTCATTTCTAAGCCACTTTTTGGTGAAATTTGAGTCCTTTAAATATTTTGGAAGGAATTAAGATGTGTTATGTACATGTACCAACCTTCCAAAAGGAATGTAAACATTATGTACTACACACATGTACTAATAAACTAATAAAAAATTAAACAATAAATTTTTTGGTTTTCCCACTTAACAATCCGTGTATCACTGATGAAAAGTACTTTTTCTCTATTCCAACCTTTACATTATATGTCCATCACTGACCTAAGACAAACACATAAAAACAGGATTTTCATGACATAGCATGATTCATTTAAATACAAGTTGAGAATCTCTAATCTGACATCCAAAACATACCAAACCACAAAAACTTCTGAGTGCCAATAAGACAACACAAGACGAAAATTTCACACTATGAAACTTTGGTTTATATACCAAAAATATTGCAAAACTACCATTAAGCTCTGGGTATACAAAACACAAATAAACTTTGTGTTTAGACTTAAGTCTCATCCTCAAAATATCTCATTATGCATGATATCTGAAGAATTTGAATCTTCCAGAATCTGAAGAAATCTGAAACACTTCTGGTCCCAAGCATTTTGGAAATTTGCTCAACCCCTGCACAAATTTTCCTTGAAGTAATAAAATGATATTCACTAGAGACAAATTATTACAACTTATAATGTATGAAATACATACCTGAGTTAAACCAGCACCTGTCGGCATAGAAGAGTTTTTTAATAGTCCAACTTCTTTGTTTATGTACCTTAGCATTCCACTAAGAGTACTAAAGTCATTACTCTCAGAACGATCATCTTCTAGGTTATATGTAAGAGGTTTAAATGAGTCTGGCTGGGTAAAAATCAGATCCTTCTGGCTTTCTTCTAATGTTGAAGGCTGTTTTAATTGCACTTTTTTAAAGTCCTGTAGTAATTCTTCAGAAAGATCTTCATTACTCTGAGATTTGAAATAAAGGTCACTGGCACTAATAGAGCAACGTAGTTTTCTGCACTTGAAAAAAGATGTGTGAGGATGTTTAGCGAATTCTGGATCTTGAATATCAGGCATAGTTTCTTTTGGAGGTGTAAATGGGGCTAATAGAAACTTGATATCTTCTGCCTTTTCATGTCCAGAAATTTTGGCTTGTAATTTGGTTAATTCTGATTCCTGGAAAAAAAAAATGGTGCATGTACATAGTCAGTGTACAATATATTTCTGTTAAATGAATGAACTACTTAGAAAATTAGACTCAGAAGTCATCTAAGTCAACATTCATCTTGTACAGGAATTGTTTTAACAATTCTTGAGTATTCCAAGTACTGTTTAAACCTGTACTATTTAAGACAGCTTCATTTTGAGACAATTACATATGTTCATTTATACCTTTGGAGTACTGTAAGGAATTCCATGAAAATCAAATTTTTCTTAGAGACTTTTTTAAGTGTTAAGGAATCAAATTCTATTCAAGAATGAAATCTTATACCTAAAAATTTCTCTGCAAAAGTATTGAGGTAGGGCCAGGGATTGAGCTCAGTGGTTCTGCTGCCTGCCTTGCAAGTGCAAGGTCCTGAGTTCAATCCCCGGTACCAAAAAAAATAAGAAAAGAAAAAAGTATTGAGGTACACTACCTTTTGTTAAATCTAACATGGACATACACACAAAAAACGATTCCTTTCAAAGTTTCTAAAAGGAAATAAATATATGTTAGCTATTTTGTTTTATATGTTTTCATTAAAAG